TGGTGGAAACGACTATGTCAAAATTAACCTATTTGACCGTGATTTAATAGTAATACACGTTTCAAAATAATAATAATAATAATAATAATGCCGAAGTAACAACATACTGAAAACTGTTAGTAAAACCATGTTTTAATGCTTTACAATTTACATACCTAGATGCACGTGTGTTGTGTTTATGCAGTGCAACTCCCACCCAGTGGGTGGCTATGTAGAGTGATAGAACAGAGCAGGCACGCCCCCGAGAGAAGGAAAGCAAGTCACGTCACAAATTAGCATTTCTAAAATGTTAGCGTGGATTAATAAAAGTGCAAAAAGACAGCGGTTGTCGCCGGAAGAAACTTCAAATACAGAGAATGCTGTGCCTGTGTTGGAAATTGTGTCTGATGGGGAGCTTTCTTTGGTTGATCCTCCTGCTCCAAGTTCTAGTGCATTAGCATTAGCACTAGCTCCGCCGCCTCCTCCAGAGCCTCTAACGTTAGCTGCTGCTGGCGCAACTGCCACCACCAACACCGGGCAAAGCGATGCACCTGACTGCTGGACAACGGACCAGGTGCAATATTTTTGCAAGACCAATGCATGGCTCCTTCTTAAAGATAAGAAGCTAGGATGTCGGATATGCAGAGATGTCAAATCTTTGGGAATACACACTGGACAAGGACTGAAACTGTCAACTGAATGGGGTGAGTGTGCAGTGTCTCATTTCGGTGTTGACAAGGGCAAACAACAAGATAGCCTGAGAAAAAAAATCAAAGAACATAAAGAATCACAAGCCCATGTAAAAGCTGCTGACATCCTTACATCTGCTTCACGTGAAACTATTCAACATCAAGTGCAGTCTATGCATAAATCTGAATTAGACACCACTATCAGAGTTTTTCGAACGGCATATAAAATTGGCAAACATAGCCGGCCATTCACAGACATGCCAATTGATTTGAATGTACAGAAACTGAATGGGCTGAACGTGGGCAGGGTTTTGCACTCCAATAAAACCTGTGGCGAAATCATCGACCACATAGCTCATGAGCTGAAGAAAAAAATGGCAAAAGACATTACAGAAAACCAAAGAAAACTCTGTGTTTTGGTCGATGAATCTACCACTATTAGTGGTAAAACGGTGCTTGTTGTGTGTCTACGCTCAGCATTAGCTGATGCTGAGCCCGAAACGTTTTTTTGGGAGCTGATCGAGTTGGATGGAACAACGGCTGATGTTAATGGAGGGTCTTGGAAGAGATTTAACGAGGACTTTTTAGGTCAGTGTTTCGTTTCTTTTGCATGTGATGGGGCTTCAGTCATGCTAGGGAAGAGAACAGGCGTTGCTACCCAGTTGTGTAGTAAATTCCCAAGCCTGTTTGTGTGGCACTGCTCCAATCATCGTCTAGAGCTGGCAGTTGGGGATGTGGTCAAGGAGGTCTCAGGGCTCAATCATTTCCAGATCTTTTTTGACAAACTCTATTCCTTGTTCCATGCCTCCCCCCAAAAATCAGAGGCAGTTAGCGCAGTGTGCGCAAGCAGTCGGACAGCGTCTCCTGGTGATAGGGCGTGTTTTGTCCATCCGCTGGGTGGCTTCAAGTGAAAGGAGCGTCAGAGCAGTCTGGGAAAACTACCGAGTGCTTCATGATCACTTCACAAATGCTGCAAACGACACGAGCAGGGATTCCAGAGACAGAGCAAAGTACAAGGGCCTGGATGATGTGCTCACATCTGCAACGTTTGTCAGCAATCTGGGACTGATGTACGATGCGCTCACAGAGCTCAGCGACCTCTCTCGGCAACTCCAAAAAAGAGAGATGACACTGCCTACAGCAGATAGGCTCTTAACTCGAGAAATACGAGTTTTTGAATCCATGGTCACCATGCCTGGCCCACACATGACTACAGTTCATACAGCTCTAGCTGAGAAGTCCTTCAAGGGTGTTGCCCTGCGTGAGAATGGCAGGCTTGTACAGATTCATGCAGGTCAGTTTTTCCGCAGTATGGTAGAGAATCTGAGACACAGAATGACTTCCACAACCTCCTCTCATGTCAGCACAAGAGAAATCCCATTACATGGCCGGGAGGCCCGGGACAATCAGCTAATCCAGGACATGAAAGTTATCCATCCTGGAAGTTGGCCTGAAGAGGAGTTAGACGTACAGTATGGGGACGTAGAGGTGCTACGTTTGTGCGAAGTGCTGAAAGTGGACAGAAGAGAGACTGTTCAGGGCTTTCGCGAATACAAGGAAACCAGGGCATCCCGTACACCTGCTGCCATGGAGCCTCTACTGAAAGCAGTCCGAACCATCGCTGTCTCCACTAGTGAGTGTGAGCGGGCATTCAGCTGCATGAACGATATCCTTACTGCAAAAAGGAATGCTCTCTCTGTCAGCCGACTGTCCAGCCTGGTTTTCATTAAATGTAATGGACCATCACTAGGACAGTTCAATCCGGAACAGTATGTGAGGTCCTGGCTGGCAAAGGGAAGGAGAAGTGCTGATGAAAGAGCCTGTCCAGCTCCAGCCCCTGATACTGATGTCCCCAAGGCCTTCTGGAGCCTTTTCTAACAATGTGAAGTATATTGCAAAGCAGCTCACCCAGTGAGAAGACTTTTGGCATAATGTGCCGATTTGTACAGATCCTGGAGATAGAAGGACTTCAGACCAACCAGGGAGTTATCTGATCAGCTTGGTGTTCAATGTAACTCTTTACCATGGCTCAGACTTTGTTACTTGCAGTTACAGTTTCTCATTTTAGATTGTGCAAATTTTGCATTTGTTTTTACATGTTCTTTGTTCATGCTCTTTATCATTTTTCTGAGTTGGAAAGTTAGATTGCATCATAGTTTACTTTATACATATTTGTATTCTTCAGTGGTGAAGTATATTGCAAAGCAGCTCAGCCATGTGAGAAGACTTTTGGCACTTTTTCGTTTTTCGTTTTCTGAGTTGGAAAGTTAGATTGCATTCAAAATGTACAGAAATACTTAATTTTGTTAAAGCTTTTTATAAAAAATGCTTCTGACCAGAGCTTTGTTTCCTTGTCATTAATGTTGAACACCACCAGAGGGGCTCTCACCTGAAAGGTCTCTGCTTCATGTGTCTTCAGCAGAAGATCTAGACTTTGATTGCTATAGTTTCAGTTAATATTGACCTTACTGAGCTTTAGCCATATCCGCTGCCTATCATAAAAAATGTTAAGTACAGTGAACCTTTCTAAAATATACAGTAGTAAAGAGACAAACCCACCAGCATTATAGTAGCCAAATTCTTGTTTGTGGGCTGTATATATCAAATTGACTTGAAAAAGTTGCTGATTTTAGAGTACTGGCACCTTTTTCATTCCAATTCAAGCACTGCCCTAAATTGTCTGACCTTGACTATAAAAAATGAATGGGTTCATAGTTTAAAATACTAAAGAAGTGTTTTCACATTCCTCTGCTAAATGTGTGCACTTCACAAAAGTCTGAGATTCAACTGTACTCTGTGCAAGATACATTAGATTATGTACGTCACACATTTCAAACAGCCAATCAGTGTCTAATAGCCAATCAAGCGTTTTTGAATTTTTAGAAAAGCGCTATATAAGTGTCATGTATTATTATTATTAATATGCAAATCCCCAATATATAACAACAGGGAAACAGCGCCGGAAAAAGACACCTGAAATGTCCATTTAGTAAAAAGGTTTTGACAACAGACGGGACAGTGTGAAGTCTTTGAATTTAGTTGAATTCAAAGCGGAACATCTAACCAAAAGATCCCACTAACGCTTTGTCAGCCACGAGCCTAATGAAGCCCACAAGCTACTAAACATGCTGCGCAACACTCTTCATCTGAGTCAAACACGTGAGGCTGATTCTCAACCCATACGAATAAACAATATGTCTGAATATGTATTTCAAAATGACTAACAATTGCTTGTGTCCTATGTGAAAACAATGTGGCTATTTGTTGGTCCTTGGGGGGGGAATAAAGGCGTCCTTCAAGCTCTAAGAAGTTGTGGACCAGGTACAACATCATTCTCCTACAGTACGTGCATAAAAGTGACAAAATATAGATCCTTGCATTAGTGTGCCCAAACACACACTTTCCAATCAATCACAGCCTGACTGTCACACCTCGCTCAGGTCTATAAAACGATGATTTATGCATGATTGTGTAATCCCTCTGCAGGATAGGTTGCGTGTCAGACTCTATTCATCTCCATGAAACAGATGACAGATGCTCTTTTGACTAACAAATATTAGAGAGGGTAGGTAACCACAACGCTCATCCTGCAGGCTAATGAGTGTCATTGTGAAAGAACAACATGGAAGAATAATGTGACACCAAACAGACGACTGAAGTCCTGCTGCAATGTTGTTTACAATACAAACTATCGGGAGTAAACTAATGTCACTCGTGAAGTAAATGATAGGGTTAGTAAAGTGATTAAAATGACAGAAAAAAAACCCTGGCTTATTTCCTTTTATCCTTTTGCTATAATGAAAACAACGGCAAACGTAAAAATAATTTGAAAAGTGAGAAAAAAGGGAAATATAACTTTTTCTTTTATTGAACTGACTTGGAGGTAAAAGGACTTTTTTTTATAAAATATAAATCTTATTTTATTCTATGTTTGTAATAGTTTATCAATACATACGGTAGCCGATATTTGCAAATGCATTACAACGGCCCAAAACACCTATGGAGAAACGCGTTACAGTTTAAAAACAATGCAAATATAAAAACACAAATGTGCCAGAAAACATGCAAATGCAACATATAGTATAAATAAAAAAAGACAAACGTGTCTTAAAGTATGACTGACACACACACACACACACACACACACACACACACACACACACACACACACACACACACACACACACACACACACCACACACACACACACACACACACACACACACACACACACACACACACACACACACACACACACACACACACACACACACACACGTTTTGTTCTTTTGTTTGTGTGGGAGACGTGTGTGCGTGCATGTGTGTACTCACACTCGCTGTATTTCTGCAGCTGGGTGAACTCGGCCGGGCTCAGACACACCCAGCTGTCCCCCATCCTGCCTGCCTCCGAGGCTCTGTGTCTGAAAGTGTGTCGGTCCAAAAGTGTCCCTCAGAGGACTGATGGTTATCCTTCGGTCAAGTTGTGTATCGAGGCTGAGACGAAAAGATTTTGGGATGTCATCTCCGCCTTTAAAAAAATAAATAAATCACCTTGCAAGCCCACAGTTAGAGAGCTCAAATTACCCCAGGCAATATGAGCAGTGGAGGAGGCGGGAAATGACGAAAATGTTCAATCAAACAGGGTTTTTCAAGTGTTTATCTGCAGTCAGAAGTTGTCCTGATTATTGCTGAGGTGCTCCAAATGTTGAGTTGGATTTCAAAAAAGAAAAAGGATGTTTGGTGATTGTCTGTCACACCAAATGAATATTCCTCATGATTTGGAGATGGCACAAGGGTTTTTCAGCAGGTCTGCAACAAAAGACACCGTCTCTGACCTGCAGAAAGAGAAAACAGATATTTAAAAAAAAGATAACCAACATTCATCAGGAGTGTATATAATATGAAATACATGAAAAGCTTTCGTCATAAACATCTCTGTAACATCTCAAAGTCATTGTAAAGAAAGCGAGGATGTAGGCAGCGAGGACGACAGTTAAACACAGAGAGATTTACAGCAGAGAGGGAGAAACACGAGCTGGAGGAAAATTACTGTCCTGGATTTATAGTATTCAATCTGCTCTTGATTTATACTGTAATGGTTTCTCTGTCAAAATCAAAGGAAGCACAAACATAGTGTTTACAGCACAGAGGGAACACTTCCTCAATTTAATCCAAACACTTGTTTAATGTTTTTTAGAATTGATTTGTACAATTCTTATTATATATTGCAGTTTAGTTGTATGACAACCTTTTACCAAAATAATGTATTTGTTATCACCTCAAATGTTGACTGAATCAACCCGATTGGTCATTGATTAGTGTTGGGAAAAAATATGAATAATACATTTTATGTGGCAAGTGCTTTTACAGGTGCTCAGACGCTTTACAAAAAGGTCAAAAAATAATGAAAAGGTCCAAATAAATCAACTCACACAACAACATTTAACAACCCGGAAGCAAACTCCTTCCGGTTCCTTCGACAAAACGCAATGCAATTTCTCCATAGGATTTTGGAAAACAGCTGGAAATAAGGTCTGTGGTTGAAACACATTCAAGAGACGGATCCCGTTTTGTTCAGCCGTATAATCTCCACATGTCTACCCTACTTTTATAATGTTAGAATCATAAATCTAGCCAGAAGCAAACGTTATGCTATAAAAGGAACTATATAGCAGGGTCGCTGCTTCAACGTCACGCCGACTTAAGATCCATATTCAAAACTACAGATTCTAAATGGTACGAGTTGAAGTGTTTGTTTGAACAGTCTGCAGGAGGCAGGCACTTGCTTTCAAGCAGAACAGGGCAAACTAACTTAGAGGAGTGTTTTACATGTTCGGTGTAATGACGTAAAACGGCCTCGACAACTTCTGTAGTCCTATTCAGCCGCTTAGTAACAACCATCGTTTTTCAGACACGTCAACTCTTCAGAAATCACCACTGCTAATGTGTTTAATGTCGTAGAACAAAACGTGATCCGTGTCTTCAATGTGTTTCAACCACAGACCTTAGTTTCAGCTACTTTCCTAAATCCTAAGGAGAGATCCCATTGCTTTATGTCGAAGGAACCGGAAGTGGTAAAATGCTAACTTACTTCCGGGTTTTAGGACGCGTCACTGCGGCACTGTATAAAAAAAACAGCAGAAGAGTAAATGTGGAAAGAATGTATCCAATGCAACATTGAACATGTGCTTTTTCATGTAATTTATTGGGAGCTTTTATTCCCACGGATGAAATCTGGCAGCGATTCACACGTGGAATTCTCAAAACTTGGATAAATAAACCAAAAATATGCATCAATAGAGACCTCTAGAAATTAAGAAATACGTTGTTATTTATTTGGCTATTTTTAGGTTTGAAGTTGATGTGATTTCTGAATCTGTTATTTAAGTTTGACTTCCAAATAGCTGAAGGTAGTTCAAACTGGAATTCAGTCCATGTCCTCAAACCGTAATGACACAAAATATGTATTAGTTTTTCTTATTACATGTAAAACTATGCAATACAGTGCATGTTCTGACCTTATTAAGTCTAATTCTATATATGTTTGGCATATAGTAATAACCAGAATAACATATGTGCTTGCAAAGAAACAAAATTGAATGCACCTTATATCCCTTTCTCACATATATAACGCCCTGTATGTCATAGCAGTCGGTCTTTATAATGACCGATATATTTGATGCATTAGTGAGAGTGCTGCGCTGCTGACTCAGCTCCTGGTTCACTTAAATTAAACAGAGCCGTTGTTAACGGTATGAAATGCATCAGTGTGCTTCTAATACATCCAATTGTTGTTGAGACTGATCAGCTGACATTCATACAGAGCCTCTGTTACTAAAGTCACCTGAGAAACCAACTGGACTCGGTTAGAAAGGTTTCAAATGTTGATATGATTTTGTCTTGAGGATCTTAGCTGAAGCATTTTTTGTAAGTTGGCCTTCTGACTGATGCCAGAGTACACATAGTTCCCACGGAGCAAAGATAAAAGCATGAGTGACTTACTCAAATTCACCAAGGGAAAATATAGAGTATTTTTAGAAAAGGTTCTCCACTGCAAGGAAAATAAAACGGTTTGGATTTAGCATGAAATCATCCCATCATGATACTCGCCACTGTAAGTCAAGTCATAGTAGGAACACAGTATTCTGAAGTATTTCTGTACCATTAAATCTGACACACAAAGTTGTAGTACTTAAAATATTTGGGTGAATTGAAACGTATCCACCATGGAATACAATAATATGGCTTAGTTGAAGCTAAAGGATATATTTTAGGTCGTTTTGGAAAGAGCAAAACAAAATGTAATGTTAGTATTGTAAAGTATTTGGATGCATTATGGACGATACACTTTGGAAAAGTACTCATAATGTTTTGGGTGTTTCTCCTATACTGCATAATTAATGAATAAAAAAATAATACTACTACTTAAAAACTACAATAACAAACTTCTCCTGACATGAACTGTGTATTGACAGGATCACTTTAGGCCAGTTTATTTGTAAGCACTCTCTTGTGAACGGATCAGCATAATTTGACTTTGGTCAGACTCAATGACAACCTTTTGCATATAGAGACGTAGAATCACCCTCTCCTTTTTCTCCTTTCACATCATGAACCAGGCTTTCAAAGTGAGGCAGTGTTCTTACTTTTACCCTCTCTGTTTATCAGCTGCTCTTCTCACTCCTGGGCAATATACACACATTCAGTTTCAGATAAACTGTGTAGATAATCAAATGTATGCTGTACTATAACCATCAAATGTCCTACTGTGGTTTACCACTAAAACCCTTATCCCACACCTCCTAACCTTTCACACCATGAACCAGGCTTTAAAAGTGAGGCAGTGTTCTTACTGTTAATCAGCTGCTGCCGCCACACACACACACACACACACACACACACACACACACACACACACACACACACACACACACACACACACACACACACACACACACACACACACACACACACACACACACACACACACACACACACACACACACACACCACACACACACACACACACACACACACACACACACACACACACACACACACACACACACACACACACACACACACACACACACACACACACACACACACACACACACACACACACACACACACACACAACTATAACCATCAACTTTCTTTCTGTGTCTACCATTTCAACCCTGATCTCTCGCCTTAATTGTTTTGCTTTTAGTCCCAACAAACACGCTTTAAAATGCTCGTACATTCCCTCTCTGTCCATCAGCTGCTCTCTGTTGGTCTACATGTTGGACAGCTGACGGGCGACATGTTTACTGATGGAGGATAAAAGGGGGGGATCTATATGTATTTACTGAGAGAGGAGCACGTGCTGCGAGGGGAGGCCCCGCTGCAGAGAGGGAATCTGTTTTGGTCTCGAGGTTGCCCGGCAACAATGACGTCACCGGAGAGCAAACAAAGAGGAGCACCATGTCAGAGATCGCCACGGTTACTGTGAGCACATGTAACTGACATGACATGCATCAACTGAGCCTGAAGCACAACAACAACAAAGACAGATAAACCAGATCAACATGTAAAGATTAGATTTGAAAAAAACAGCCCATGTATCAGTACAACTATTAAATCACACTTCATTTCAAATACATTTTTTAATAACAGTCAAATTAATGGTTGCTGAATATCCATTTTTATGCAACATGGGGGGAGAAAGAGTGAACGTTTGTGCATGTTTTAAGTTCAGCTAAATGTCTTGTGTCCTTAAACGAGAAAGCACACTTACTATACCTTACTCATGAATTTGTTAAGCTCCTACGATTCTAAAAAAAGGCGTTTGCCCACACGTGGCTAAACGAGACTCCTAAATGTTATCAATCTGAACATTATAGGTTTACCCATTAAGGCTAAACCCGCCTTAATGGGGGTGACTTAAGTCGTGAGATGACTGTAGTTCATGTCTAACCTGACAATAGCTTTAAGTTTCTTGCAATTGCATTAACGCTTCAAAAATCAAAACCGTGGAGATTATCGTTCTGAGATATTGCCAAATACCTTACTTTGTACAATATTTCAAAATACAATGAAAACATCCTATTGTCTTTTTGTCAGTGCTATACAAGAGTTAGAGTACAAACACTAAATACCACTGTTATCTGTATGTTAAACAAAAGCAGCAACCTCTTCGTCTGAGAGAAAAGCCTTTTAATAAGTGTTCTAATAAAGGTGTGTAAATATTGCAGCAAAAGATAATCAATTTACTAGTCCACAGTATTAACCGTTATCAATATTGACAAACAAATCAAAACTGTATTCCCAGTCCAATAATTGACCATCAAATAAACATGAAAGTTGCTTAAAGGTCCCATGTCATGGCCATTTCTACTGATCATAATTCCATTGTTGAGGTCTACTAGAATAGATTTGTTGCAAATGTATTATCTTTTCAATTTACACACGGCATCTATTGCACGTCTGTCCGTCCTGGGAGAGGGATCCCTCCTCTGTTGCTCTCCCTGAGGTTTCTCCCATGTTCCCCTTTAAACTGTGGGTTTTCTCCGGAAGTTTCTCCTTGTACGATGTGAGGGTCTAAGGACAGAGGGTCTAAGGACAGAGGGTCTAAGGACAGAGGGTGTCGTATTGTCATACTGATATTCTGTCCAAACTGTGAAGTCCACTGAGACAAATGTAACATTTGTGATATTGGGCAATATAAATAAACATTGAGTGATTAATTTATACTGTGTAATTTTCCAAACTCACATTGGTTTCTCATACAGCATCTCTGTATAGTATGTGTATTCACTCTCTGTGCTAAACGGCTTGTTGGAGCTCCTGCCCC